AAGCTGCCCCTGCCTCACCGGCGCCTCAGCGCCTAGGATTTCTCTGCCTTTGCTGCTAGCGGTGTTTGTCGTGCTTGAAGAAACTGTAACATAAAAGGCCCCTAAGTCTAGCCTATTTTTTAAAGTGGTGTTTTGGTTTATTCTAACTCCAGCCCTCATTCTTTTTTTTCTTTTAAGTGTTAAGATCGATCATGTTGAACTGTGTGTCGAAACAAAATGCCCACTGGGGTTATTTTTAAGTAGGCCCCGTCCCTGCCAGCCTGTGAAGCAGGCTCCCTTTGGGAGAGCCTGTGTGCAAAACCTTTTTTTGGACCAGTAGTGAAAATTTCTCGGCGCGCAGGTGGGTTCTTCCCTGTCAGCTTTCTCTGCGAAAGCTGCAGGTTGGTGCATACGCATTCGCTTGCTTTCTGTTTTTGTTAGTCCTCAAGCTCCAGGGATGAGGCTCTGAGGGACAAACGTGCCCAGATCCTGTCACGCGGGCTGCCGAAACAGAAGCCCATAGAAGGAGTTAAGCAAGTGGTGGTCTTTGCTTCTGGAAAAGGGGGAGTTGGAAAATCAACAACAGCAGGTAAGATTTGGTTTTTTTATTGTTTACTTTGCACATTTTGTAATACTTTGTGAGGAATATTTGGGCACTTGTTCTGTCATTACCTTGTAATTGAGTCCCACTAACACAGCCCTTCACCTCTGTCAAGTCCCGTTGCAGCCATTGAGAATCTATGTGGGTACAGAGGTATTGGCTTTAAATGAGGTGCAACTCGAGCAGACAGCTTTGAAATAGTATCTTCATAATAGTGCAGTGCTGTCTTGGGACAGTCTGCTTTCTTAAGAGGCTGTGTAAGCTGAGGTGGAGGGGATCATATGCCACTGCAGTGATACTGTTCCTCCTTCCCTAGCAGCATAGGTGTGCCTGTACAGTGCCTCTCCATGCTATGTCGGCATAGTCATGGGCTCTGTAGAGGATACTAATATTTAGAAGGTTTTAAAATCAGGTCTCTGTCTAATTTTCTCAACTACTTGTATAGGCATTTCATAAACAAAGGATGAAACAGTAGTTATAAACCACACAAATTGATCAGAGCCTTGTGAAGAATCTTGAATTCTTCTCTCAGCGCCACCCCATTAGGTTTTGAATTATTTTTTCTCTAACTGTGCAGTTCCTAGGTGGTAGAACAAGATAGTACATGGGTTACCAGTACTGCAGAAATTTGCTTGAACTTGAACAAAGTTGACACCTCACTGCAAAGATCTCTGTAAAGTGTTAGAAATTTGTTTAAAAATCTCTTCCTTAGCATCTAGATTAGGAAAAGAGTCATCCTTTAGTTGAATGTTGTCTGCTGTTCATCTCCATTTGCCATGAATAACACATTGCTGTAGCTCTTAATTTCTCATGTTGTGGTTTGTATTTCAGCCATGCTTGAAAAGGAGTGACTGTCTATGAGTATTAGAACAGACAAACGTGATATTCATAGCAAGAGTAACTGTACTTTAAAAAAAAAAAAAGTATTTTTTTTGTACGTAGGATACACATATATACTATTCTATACATAGGATACACATTCCTGTACAAAGGTGTGCAAAACAATCAACACTTGCATTTCTTAATGCTGTACCTTTTGGTTGATGGTTATAATTCACAGGCTGGTTGTTTCAGGTTACTGAAAATACCAAATATCTGTTTTTAAATCAACAGATTTACAAACTGAACATAATTTGAACAGTAAATTCAGATTATCCTCCTCATGTCTGCAAACAAATGTGCTAATTTAAGTTCCACTAACTGGCGTCTGTATTAATTTGTACATATCTGTATGTAATTTGTATATAAAGTATGACGTGTATGAATAACACTTAAAGAGCTGGGAGTTCATACCCATGCATTTAAAAATGAAAAAGTAGGGTTCAGCAAGCCTTAAGTAAGAGAGTTGAGATGTAAATGAACCATTCAGATGTTGCTGTATTGGACAACTTTTTGTTAATGAATGTATTCATTTATAATATTGAGAAGAAAAACATATCTAGATTCTTGTTTATTAAAATGAGAATAAATTTCATGGTTCAGATCAACAATTAAAGATCAGGTAACTCTTCTGAACAAAAGTATTGCATGGCATCATGAATCATATACTTAAAATTATGTTCTTCGTAATGGAGGTTTGTGGGGAACACGTTTGGTGACAACGCCACAGACTCATTTTGAGAGCAGGAGTTGAAAAGGAAGGAGGGTGGTATGCAGCTCTAATTCCTAAAGCACCACAGAAAATATCATCAGTCTTATTGTCTGCATCTCTCTGAAGGACTGTTAAGGCTCTTCATATTCTTTCTGCCAGTGTGTTTATGTTTCAGTTGCTCTGGATCTCCATTTCAGGACGAGTGAATATGCATTCTAGTCAAGTTTGTCAGGGCCATTCCTTAACCTGTCTCTGTATTCCTGTTGAATAACTCTTCCTGTTTGTTGCATATAACTTTCATATTGTATTCTCTCTTGCTTCTAGCACTTTTTGGTCTTCTGAAATCAATGTAGTCAATGATTAAAAGAAGAAATTGTGTTATAGAAAACATATTTTTCAATGCATGTTTAAATACTTTGGTGGTTGTTGGTGGTGGTGGTTGTTGTTTGCCTAGTGTAAGTGTTGGTTTGTTTGTTTGTTTCCTATGTTGCCTATCTCTTTCCTGTCAAGTTTCTGTCTTCTACCAGCATTCTGCTGTATTTTCTTCATCTGTCTCTTCTGGCCCCTCTTTTGCATTTCCTGAAGATGAGAGTACTGTAGAAAACTGATTCTGGCATGACAAGAGTTCAAAGTGTGGTCTTGAAAGAAGAGAAGTTTTGAATTTATTGAAACTCTTACTGTTTTCAGCTGTGGAAGTGGAATAAAATTAATGGCTGGTGTTCTTGCTCGCATTTTGTTAATCCTGCAGTTTGGGGAAAATAAAACTACTGATAATACCAGCTACCCTGGCCTTCAGACATTTTTAGCAAAGACTAACGGGCTGAGATTTTTCATTATTGTTCAGGAGAGCTGATAAGGTCAACACATGGTCAAATGTATCTCAGTCATATTAACTGTGTTTTAAATTTTTTTTTCTCTTGCATGCTTTTATTCTGCATGTAGATGTACTATTATTGAAACTCACCCTTTCAAGGTGGGGACCAAAATCCATCTATTCACCTGACCAACCCAGACACAGGTCTGGGCTTTGGCAAAGGTGATAATAGTATTTGTTCATGGTTCTTTTCCAGGATCAACGGCATGTTTTTTTGATTCTGGGCCTTCTCTACATGTTAAAATTTTCTGATAAATAGTCATAAACTGGTTATTCTATTTCTAAATGCCACTTACATTGAGATGTAAGTATTGAAAGTTATCTTTCAGAGAGAGTTCATCTTAGTTATCTGTAGGTATTTTATTGGTTATGTAGATACACTCAACTGGCTTTGTATGTGTCTGATTTTGGGCGAAGAAGTTTTATTTGTACTGTTAGCTCTATGTTCTGAGAATTAAACTGTGCTATTCCTAGGGCCAGTTTGGATTTGGAAGTTACAAAGTTACAAAGTCCAACTAATAAACCTTCCCAGACTTGTACTGATTTCAAGAGTAACTGATCTTCTTGTGCATCGTTCTTGATACCTGTCGGCTTGTTTAGCATGGGCGTAGATACCATGGTAACTTTTCTTGGAGCCTGCTGTGAAGTTTTAAAATATAATAGTAATAAAAAAAAAAAGTTGTTTTGAACTTATGGACTGTATCTGCCCTGCTCTCCTGCGCTCTTGGTTATGGGAACTTACTAGTTAGGGCCAACATGAATGTTTAGGGTCAGGTTAGGTCCTATGCTGCATCTCTATGCCCTCTTGGAACTGATGGTAATACAAAGACAACGGAATGCAAGAATCAGCTGGGATTCAACAGAGAACATGAGGTGTCCAGCTAGATACCCAGCTAAAGACCTCAGGTTTTCCAACTGTATTATTCCCACTGTCTCCCTTTTTTCCCTTCAATAGTCAAATATCTTTTATTGAGGAAGCATTGTGGATCATGCTTTAATTTTCATGCATGATATTTGTATAGGAAGAAGATAAATATATAAAGTGGTTTTGAGACAGTGTGTGGAGTAACTTGCTGCTTCCTTTATGCCTCTTCAGACATGAGCTGCAGTTGATTTTTTTTTTTTTCTTTTCTTTTTTATTTATCATGGGTTTGCTTGTTTTTTCTCTGTGATTTGTAGATTGGTCTCCAAGTTTCAAAGGATGAATTTTTCTCTGATTGATTCAGGGAACAGTTAATCAAGCATCTGTTTAAATAGCAAACTGAAGAATAAAATCTATATGCTTTATCAGTTTAGGAATAAACAGAGGCTGTGTGCTTCTTAGGGAGAGCTGTACAATTTTCCTTGTTAACCTCCTCACCTTTTTGATTAAAGGAACTTATCTTTCTCAACACTAAATTCTTTGAGCTGGGAATCTGGCTCCTCAGCTTGTTCTCAGTACCTTCATACTCTTCCAGTAGAACGAGGCTGACCACAGCATGTCTTTTTTAAAACGCTTTATGGACTGACATACAGCAATGTGTAAAGAAAGCAAAATATGTTACCCGAGAAAGGGTGTTTGTGTGTGTGTGGTGTTAGGGGTTTTTTTGGTGGGTTTTTTTTTTTTTCTTCTTTTAAAGCACGTTACTCCTTGGACTATAACAATTACTATTTGGTTATACTGAAGTTTCTAGAAGGTCTTCCAACATAATTGAAGCTGGTGAGCCATTAAAAGATACCATTTCTTGTGTGTGCCTTTTAGTTATGGGAGTTAAGTGTTGATGGAAATGTAAAAGCTGTAAACAAACCCACAGTCCTTTTAATTGCTTCATTCTGGTTTTCTGTTTCTTTAGCAGTTACAGGTGCTTTCAGGGTAGATGAGACTTTGTTTTCTGACATATAAATCAAGTGAAAAGCATGCATTGTACCTTCTTTCAGAAAATATCCATGTTTAATACATCACAAGAAATCAAAAAAAGGGATATGATCATCTTTCTGGTCACTGTACTTTTAACAGTTTAGGTCAATATTTACCTAATCTCTATTTATTAGAAAGTTCACTCGAGACTGTGGTGAAGGTTACCTATGGTAGGGTTATTTTAGTTTTATAGTACAGTGTCTGCTTTTCAAAAGTCAAGTGGGTACCTCAAAATTTTTTTCTTAATGTTATCCTTTAGCAAAATACTTAGATTGTATTTTTATTTTGCAGTGTCCTCTAGAAACTTAGAGTTTGCAAGTTTTTGCAGATTAGCTTGCTTGTTAGCCTGTTAGCAAACATGGACTGAAATGTGGGTGCTGCTGCCACTTAAACTAGTAATATTGTAGAGGTGCAAGAAGCTAAGAACCAAGGTGATGAATACAGTTAAGTGTGATGTATTTATATTTATTTGTATTTTCTCTTGTTGAAATGATAACGTTCTCAATATTTAGGAATTACGTTTTCTTGCACTTAATCTTTTTTTTTTTTTTCCCCCTTCCTCTTTCTTGCAGTAAATATAGCCCTCGCCCTAGCAGCAAATGATTCGGTAGGTGAACATCTAATTATCAGCCTTAATGTGAAACAAGTATGTGAGTCATAAATAAAATGGTTACTGCTGGGGGCAGTCACATGCATTAAATCTAAGTATTTACTCTGACAGTTAATTTCTTTATTTGTTTTTCATGGACTTCTGAGTTTTTATTAATTTGTTTATATTTTATCAGTACCATGAATGACTTAGTAGCTCTCATCCTTCATCTGGGTTTGGCTGTGTCCTTTCCCTTGTGTGTCTCTTGAGTTCAACTGCAATTCTGCAAGGATATGTAGACATAGTAGAGGATGTTTGTGCAGGTTGGAGATGTGTAATAAATAATTAAATTCTATCACTTCAGAGCACTCACTTGGAAAAAATACAAGTAAGTGCTGGATGGTGTCCAAAACATTTTTTTTATAGCTCTAAAGATTTACTTTTTCTGGAGAAATTAATGTGTAAAAATACTTTATATATAAACAGCTGAAGAAAAAAAGGAGCTACGTATCTTTCCTAAAGCTTGGAAATAGATTTTTTGAGTGACAAAATATCATTGCCCAGTTTGGTATTGCTCAAACTATTACTTGGACTATAAATAGACGGTGGGAACCATTCAAGTGTAAAAACAACAGGTTTTCTTTATGTCCACCTGCTGCTATAAACTGGGAGCAGTTCCATTGTGCACATTTATTGCCACAGAGGTAAACTCAGAAGCAACCTTCACTTCCTATGTAAGAGTGTATAATGCAGGTTTTGTACTCATAAAGCATTAATTAAAAACAAAGTATCCTCAAGTACTTTAATCTGGTAAATGGAGCATCTTTTTCTTACTGTAAAGGATGACTAAAAGAAAACAACAGGTTGAAGGAGTGAGGTTTACATGCAATCTGCACACTTCCTGTAGGAATTTTGTAAAAGATTAAAAAAATTTCCATAAACTGAGTCGTACTTGATAAGAAGAGTGTGTTTAAAGCTGTTGTATGAAATATGTACTGTTTGTAACGGCATCTGATCTTGATATTTCACAGTTTTTAATTCTGTGTTTTAAATAGGCTGCTGGAATAATTTGATTTCAGAGAAAAATCTGTCATCTTGAAAAGCAAAACTGCTTGAATGGTTCCTTCTAATTAACTTTAAAACATGGCATTTGCTGTAATACTTCTACAAAACGATTGTGATCCTGCAGTGTGATCTGTGTTGTGGCACGGCCATTGAGTAGCTCCATGGAAACCATGTCAACTAATTGCACATAACTTTCTGTACCAGCTTAAGTGTTTTTAGGATTGTGCCTGATACTTTTCAAACGTGCGGTTTTGTGCATTTTTTAAATTTATATTTAGATAAAGCATCTCTTAGTAATTCTGACATACACAAGTTGTGGGATTATACCCTTTTGTTAGGAGTTAAACATCTGGCTTTAAACATAATGATGTGATACACCACTTCAGTAGCCCATTAAAACACTTGTAAGGCTCACAAATAAGAGAGACCATAGTCTAGAATGATTGAAGAGGTTGTTGCCGGAGTTATTTGGAAAATCAGGGACTGAGAAATAATTTTAGATGAAATTGAGCCAAGAAAGTTAAGTAAACATAGAATGCGCTGGTCATTTGTGATGTTACGATTATGTGGTGGTGTAAAATTGGAGGCCAGCATCTGGTGGATGTTAATCAATGAAGAGCAGCTGAAATTGATGAAATAGCTGTGACTTGCATGAACTGATGGTCACAATTTAACAAGCTGCTGCCATGGTGAAATTGTGCATTGATGTAGTTACAGGTTAGAAAATATGAAATTAAGGTGGATTGAATAAACTCAACTCTATCTTCTTGTCGTGCATTAATTTTTTTTTTTTTTGAGATAATGATGGCATACATCATGTTTATGTTTAACCTTTGGGCTTGAATTTGCTGTTGTGTTCATTTGTGTACTCCCTTTGATTTCAGTTTACTAGTTTTGTGAGTCAGGGCTATGAAATGAATATCTCTGGGACCTTGATCCAGGCTGGGATTGTCCAGTGCTCTGGATTGTAGGGATCATTGCAATGTTCAGTTTTGTTACAGTGAAATAAATAAGGAGGTTGTTTTCCAGAGTCCATTGGTGCCTCCTGCTGAAGTTTGTAGTGAATTTCTTTGACCTCACATATGCAGCAATGCACCTCTTCATTCTACTTTTAGTAACTACTGATTGTGCATTGCCTTCCCATGGTTTCCCTTCCCTTCATTGCTATTTTAAGTTCATCTTTCTGAGGAAGCAGTAATGATTCTCTTAGTAGATCAGAGCTTCAGCAGCATCCTGCAACTTCATTACAGTCCTTACATCTCTTGTAAGCAAAATACAGATTTATAGAAACTGATGCTTGAACTTGATGTACTGTTTGAAGAAAGGACTCGTGGAAAAAGGTAGGTCACCATGACAATAAAGGTCTGTGCTTCCTTCATTACATACAGTCTGTTTCTGTCACAAGTGCAGTGTTTATAACTAGATTTTCAAAGCAAGTAGTATACTGGAGCTACATGACTTTAAAAATAATGTCTTCTGATCTTTCAAGTGTTCTTTTTCTAAGGTTATACAGGACACAGACTATTGAGAACAACTGTTTTCTGGTGAGGGAGATCTGTGGAAGATTCATTCAGAGGAGATTGGATTAGAGTAGATTCTTGCTGCTTTCAGTAACAGCTGTGACATCATATTGTTGTTTGATAGTGTCATAAGCTGGAAGAAGATTAACAGCCAAAGCGTAAAGGAATTTTTTGTCCTCTTGGTAAAAGAAAGCTTCCTTCCATCTTCTCTTAAAAGTCTACTTTCTGTAGTTAAAAAACAAAACCAAAACCCCACTGTTTCTATAGATAGATATTTTTTTTTTTTTAATATGGAAGCTTTTTCTTATTCTTTATTTCTTTATTTACTTATTTATTAAGGCATTGACAGAGCCTTGGACATTGTCATGGCGCACAGTGTTGTTGGCAGAGCTGGGATTAGAATTCAGGAGTTCAAGTCTTGCATGCTGGTGCTCAGTCTGTTTGGCATATTTTTACCTCATGGTTACAGAGTAAATAATTCAAGACGGGATTTCATTTAGATGCCTAGATACCACGTCCAAGACAAAGTAGGTTTTTTGGGAGTTTTGTTTTGGTTTTTTTTGATGCAAAGCCAGGGAAACAAGCAGGGCAGCCTCTTATCCCTTTCTGGAATATTAGGCTTTTGGTACCCCAGGTTACCTGTTGCATATGGATTAGTTAAGAATTGTGTAAGCTCTTGTGCCTGTACCAAGACCTATAAATCTATACAGTGTTCTTTTTGTGTTAAGAAATAACTTAAAGTTTTACCCTTGTGTCCTATTTTTAATTGCTTGCTTAGTTTGACAGCTGATTCTGTTCGTTCTTTTGATGTACCGGCAGTCAGTTGTGCTCCCCTAGGAGTGCTTGGGAAGATTTTTTGGGTTTCGTTCCAGGACGATTCATATTCAGACTAGAATGACTGTTTATGAAAGCTGCCTGGCCAGAGACGATTTATTATAGTAGAAACAAGTTGAATTAATAGATGGCAGCAATAATAGGATAGAGATTGCTTGTTTATGAACAGAGTATTTTAGTGAGCAAACACCAGCTGTGCATGACTAAGGATGGCACAAATCCAGTTGGGAGGCTGCATGCTTGTGCTGTCACTATGAGGCGAGCTCCCCAGGCAGATTTCCTTTGACTCTCCTTTTCTTTCCAGGAAGATTTACATTTTTCACTCTAGGATGAAATGGTTTTTGTGTTGTGAAGGACAGAGGAGCAAGAAGTAAAACCATATGGAACAAATTAGCATGTAAACATAAGCAAGTAGCTTCTGCCTGCAGTAGTGGGGGCATGTGATGAAAGGCATCAGTTGTAACTATTCTAGCCCAACACTGGGTCCAGGGATTAATGGGTCAGGCAGACTAGGGCCGAAATCTGAAATACACCAAAGCTGATTTTTATCCTAGGGAGTGGCCTTTGTTTTCCCAAGGGAACCTGCTGCTCGCTGAGCAAGGTGGTATTTTACATGTGAGGCCGTCCCTGTTTCTGCAGGGGGGTGCCGGGCACTTTCCCCTCCTGCGGTGCTTCACCTCGGGTAGAAAAAGGCCAAACGCGCTGTCCTGTAATGTACAGAAAGCTGGGGAAAGTTGATGATTAGCTAAAGGAAAAACACTTACTCAAATGATATCACAGTCAAAATGTCTCAACGCAGTTTTTTTTTTTTTTTTTTTTTTTTTTTTAAAAAGAAGAAAACTCGTGTGGCTATCTGCCTATAAGAGGTTTCTCGCAAATATATAGGAAGTTATAGCATAGAAATTATGTAGTTATGAGCAGAGTCTTCATGTAAATTCACTATTGTGATAATAACATTAGTTTAATTATTTCAAAATGTGTATTTAATCAAACAACACACATTAATTTTAAAACTACTCAAAATCCACCCAGCCTATTTTCTTTACATTCCAGCTTTTTTCCCAAATATTTGGCTCCTGTAATTAAACTATTTGTCTACAGGATATTTGATTGGTGCATTAATAGATGACTTCACAATGTGTATACATTTCTTTCTGGTAAGAAAAAAATTCCTCCTGGGGGGAACAAACAAATCTAGAAGAATTTAGTCAATAATGTGCTCCTTCACTGAATAATTATAGTGTGAAGGCAAGTTTTGACCTGTTTTGTCCTCCTCCTGTGCAGCTTTCCTAATTATTAGGGTTTGATTTCTAGACATCTTTACCTTTGTTGCTTAGAGAATCAGAAGACTTTAATTGCTATAGATAAGGTGTTCACGCCTGTTTCTTAATGCTAAAAAGTGTCAATAAAGCTGGAGATGCCAGTTAGAATTGATTGGGGTTATCTTGCAATGACAGCTCAGCTTCTAGATCAGCTGAGAATAAAGCTTTAAAAATCTGTTTTTCAAGTAAAAAATGAGTGACATTAAAAATATTTTTAAATATAAGCCACTTAAGATGTTTTATTTTAGTCAAATGACTATATGCTTAACTTGAGGAA